GAAGCTTCAAGATAATCAAGGGTTGGAAGCATTTTGTTTGGGCTGGAATTCAATGAGAATTTGGCATGGTAGTGATTCTGTATGGGCGGTCTGTCAGGGAGTCAGACCAATTCGAGATTTCAGGTTTTGGAGAATGTAGAGGTAGTTTTCTTCATGGGTTTAAGGATGCGTTATTCTTCGGATTGGAGAGTTCTACTAGGTTTGGGTTCGGTTGCCTTTGGGAAGGTTCTTGTATGCGTGGGGCTGTGATTGTGTTGTCCAAGATGTATGGTGTGCCAGGAATGATAAGGAATGATTTCGAGGACGAAATCTAATTTAAGTGGGGTAGAGTTGTAACACTTGGTTTTGAATCGTTTCATTATTTGGGTCCTTGGCCCAATTATCGGTTACCATAAGGCTTAGCGCGTTGGGGAAGAAGGGAATTGGCCCTTTTTGGATATGGATATTATAGATTAGATAATTCAAGAGTTCGATTGTGTTTCGGATCCAAAAGTTATAATCGCAATTTGGCAGTTCGGGCCTTTATGAATTTTGGGTTTTTGTTCGGGAAGTTTCAAGGCAGGGGTGAGTTGTTAGAAGTGAAGGGCTTCTCGTCACCTTTCCATCGATATAAAGTTTGTCGGAAACGGACTTAGAATGAAGGAGTTATGGCTAATTGAAATTAAGTGTTGTAGAAGGTTCATCGAGTACACAGGGTGTAGTGCCTGGCTAGATCGCGGATGTCTCTCGAGTACGCCGAGTGTACTAAGGGGTATGCGGGGCGTACTCCTTTCAGCCATGAAACCCTAATTTTTGGTTCTTTACCCTATTTAAACCTCATGAGCCTTGTCTTTTATCAACCTCTAAGCCTCCTGAATCTTAACAGTCGACCCTTAGCCATTATCTTGGAGCTTTTAAGCCATTGTGAAGAATCTTGGAGTATTATTGTGCGCTTTGAAGAGTTTGGAGCTTGTTGAAGAATCATCACTTGGAAGGGAGCTTGTAGATCCAGAAGTTTCTCATCTTTTGCAACCTATTGAAGGTAAAAAGCTTTGATCTTGACATCTCTTTGGTTAGATCTTGTTTGGGGGAGGTTTTTGGTCCCTTTGGTTTGTATTTATGAGTTTGAGCTTGTCCCAAGGGTTTGGACACTAGATCTGGACGTCTTAGGTGTCCCAAATGCATAAAATTGTGATCATGATGGTATATATCAACTCATGCATATGTTTTAGCCTCTTTGATGAAGTTGTAAAGTAAGAACTTGGATTTGGGACTCATTGAACCATGCAAAAGCTCAAAGTTAGAAACTTTATGGATTAAGGCATGTTCTGGAACTAGATCTGAGATTTGGACATTTTGGCATAAGTGATTAAGTGCTCAACGGAGTAGGATGGAGTTCAGGGGAGTACATTGGGCGTACCCATCTGGTACGCTGCGCGTACTGGCCCCAAAGGTAGTACGCTAGGCGTACCAGCTAAGTACGCGGGGTGTACTCGACATGTTTGACTTTTCTTGAAATGTTGACTTGTTGACCATGGATTATTGACCATAAGTTTGAACAGGGTTGACCTTTGGTTATTTTGGGCCTTTTTGGATATTGGGCTTTCTCGGGTTAGGCCCATGATGGGTTTGGGCCCAATTTGGATATTTAGGCTTTAATGGGCCTTGTGGTGTCATTTAAGGGATTGGACTTATGATGCTTGTGGGTTGGTCTTTGGATTTTGGCAAGTAAGGAAAAGGATAAAATGGACTTTTACCCTGAAGGTTTGGTTATTGGACTAGAATCCTTGATTGGGAGAGGAGCCGATTGTTGATGAAATATGTTGGTTGATGTTGCTGCAAGGATTCCGGCAGCAGCAGCTCGAGTATTTGGTTATCTTGGATTGAGGTGAGTTTTCTCACTATGTCCATGGGTCGAAGGCATCAATGTCGGCCTATTACTTGTTTTATGGAATGGTAGTTTTCTCTGTGATACTTGCATGAAAGACCATGGGGTAGCCCATGGTACTTGGATGTTAGACCATAGGGGTAGCCCATGATATTTCAAGGAAATACCATGGGGGTAGCCCATGGCACTTGGACGTCAGACCATGGGGGTACCCCTGAAAGGTCTAGTATGCTCAAGAGTCATATTAAAGTGATATTGCTAATTAACATATGATACTAATGGGTCACACCAACAACTTGATATTATTGATTACTTATTAGAAATTGATTTTAATAAATATTCAATAAAACTCTTATAATTAAATTGGAAATTATTTATTTCTAGGAAATAATATTTTTTAGCAAGAAATACATGTCTTAAAAGCATGGGGAGACAAGTAGGCTTTAGGAGACATGATTGTCTTAAAGTGTTAAGGACTTATGCTCCATAAAATCACTTTATGCCTATAAAAGATTAGGCTTGCACTAATTCTTGTTTACTTGATGCAAATGGCCGAAAATAATCCTCTCCCTCTCATTCTCTCTTAATTAGTTAAGAGCTTTGAAGATTACTTGCTTTTCCATGTCCTCTTTAAGTTCATATTGATTATGAACTTAAAGCTTAAGGGTTTAAGAGTTTATGGACTAGCATCTACATCAAGTTGAGTCATTGTTGGTGTCTCAAAGGTTCCACATTCTACATCAACTTCCAAGCCTCCCAAGAGGACCCAAAGAACAAAAAAGGTTGTTATTTCTTCATCCTTTCTATGGTTGGTGTTTAATCTTTCTATAACTTGCAAGAAGATCCTTGGTGGGTATAAAATGTTTATGTTATGTTCTAAATTTAAAGTCTTCGTTTGCCAATTTATGTAGTTTTTGAAACTAATTTTGAATTAAAACCCAAAAATTGGTATCAAGAGCCACCTTGCAAGTTTGGTTTGATTTTTTGATTTCTGGAAATCTTAGTTTTTGGAGAATATGGAGAACTTGTTTTTGTATAAAAATAAGTTCATACATATTTTCTATGACAACTATATAATTGTTATTTTTTTTATGTGACAAAGGTTTCATGCATCTTTTGTCATTTAAAGTTGTCTTAGAAAAACAAATATTGTTTTATGTGTATGTTGATGTATATGATGTGCATAAACTAGCCAATGATCATTGTGTGTTTGTTGTGTTGTTGTGTTGGTTGTTTTATAAAAATGGTTGTAATAATTTATTTATTCATATGGTATGTAATAAATTTAAATACATAAGTTTTCTTGGTTTATTTTTGTAAGTAATAGATTAGTTTTTAGAATTAATTTATTTGTACAAAAATGTAACAACGGATGAAGTTGGAACCATTTTTTGAAGACAAAAGAGCAATTTTCGAGTCTAAAAGGTGTTCAGGATTTTCGATGACATTTTCTGAAAAGTGTCACTAATGTTGTTTACAAAAGGGTTGTTGGACTTTTAGCGACAGTTGCTGAATTTTAGCCTTCAAGAAGTTTTTGCAATCATTTGCAAGCAATTGGTGTTTACTCAAGTGGGAGCTTCTTCAACAACATTACAAGAAGTTTTTTTGTCCCATTAAATGTCTCTTTAGGAATGGACTTGGCATTTTTTGTGTTGGCTCACAAAAAAATGATATTAGTTGGTTATGTTTATGCGCATACCTTTTTATGCATGTTAGTGTTGTTTATTTTATTATTATGTGTGGTTGATAAATTAGTTTTTCACATGCTAAAATAATTTTGGACGAAATAAACATCACATGGAGTTTTTTTTTTCAAAATTGGACATAAGATGTAAGAAGTTATTATTTTAAAAATAAAACCGGGTTTTATAAAATCGTTAATAACGCCAAATTTTGAAATACTCCATTATAAGTTTTAAAATTGTGATTTTTGTTAACTTATACAAAGTCCATATATATAAGTAGTAAAATGAAGTTTTATTAAAGATATATAAGGTTCAAATGCACTCAAAATTAATACCGGTTATTAAAATTGAATTGCGTTAAATTATATAAAAACTAGCTTTTTATATAGAACCTTTAAAAGTGATTTTCTTTTGAAAATTGTCCATGGTTTATTATATGCTTGTAATAACCATTATATCATATTTTTTTAAACTAAAATTATAAAATATAAAAAAGACCATTTTTATAAACTTCAAATCTATGCAATCCTTTTGAAAAACATTCGCACATCTCTTGTATGCACTAGTGGGATAAAGGATACCTAACCGGTTAGCATTGTCTTTTGATGGCCGAGGTGTCTTCGCGATTTCTATAACCAAGTTATGAGCCGATTGTACAAGTTTTTCAAATTAGATGATTTGATCAGAAATCTTTTGTGATAAAGGATACCTAAGCAAGAGAGTTCCTAGGCATAGATGGGATCAAACATGTCTAGTTAAATTTGTTATTAGAGATCCCATAAATCTAGGAATTATGTAGCAAGATATAATTGATAATCGATATCTACCGGGTTGAATTCAAATGAATGGGATAGAGGATACCTAACAATTTATTTGTTTTGCAACTTGGATCCTAGACTTTGATAACTAATGCTTTTTGGAAACTAAAAGGATATTAATTATTAAAGATTAAATACTGAAAATTCTAAATGAATTTTCACTACTAGAAAAACAGCCTTTTACGACGCGCAATGCATGTCGTAAAACGCTCAGACGACACGCAAATGCGTGTCAAGGAAGGCCCTGTCATAACGAGAGACGACACGCTTTTGCGTGTCGTCTATAGACGACACGTATTTATGACACGCAATGCGTATCATTAAAGCCGCTGTCAAGAAAGGCCATGTCATAAATGAAGATGACACACATTTTTGCGTATCGTAATTTTAAATTTTAAAAAAAATATATTTATAGATTTACTAATTTTCAATTTAAATTTGCATTTCATGTGTCATAATAGAAAATAAAATACCATATACAAAAAATACAATCCATTGCACAAAACTTAATGTCATACAAATAATCATTCCAATATTAGACAAATGTAATACATCAAATGTGAAAGAGATGAAAGTCATCAACAAATAATAGTTGAACTACAAGAACTTGTTGCCCACCTTCACAACATCCTAAGCTACTTTGCTTGACACTATGCTCATCAACAAGACCTACAAATTTGAATAATACAACCATTAGATTTACATAAACCAACAAATCCCAATATGTAAAAATGAGAATAACTATACTTAGTACTTACATTTACTGCTGACACGTGGCAGTCGCACCACATGAATAACAAATCACAACCAAAAATGGTGGATTTTATTTTTGAGTATTAGTGATGCAAATTCATTAGGAACATCTTCTTATTAATTTATTTATTTCCATTTATCCTTGATGCTAGTTCTATCTAGTTTAAGTTAAGGCAGAGAAATGCTCAAAGTTGCTATTTAAATTACCTTAACATGCATAGGATGCCCGACTCTATCAACATGATGAGGAACCGCATCGTGAAGTATACCCAAATGTCTCAACCTATCGCAACTTTTATGTTCAACAACAAAATTAATTCAATACATAGATTTACAAAATAATATAACAAATATACATCATCAAAATTCAGCTAGTGATCCTACTTGTGTGAAATAGAGGATGTATTTTGAAGCCAAAAGTCCACAACTTGACATTTTTACCCTCTCAATAATGGGAAAAATGATTCTGATAGATGGATTTCTCAACTTTTGGCTAGCAATCAAACAGCCCTACTGAAACATTATGAAAACAATTTATATTAATAATAATTAATAATGAAACTCATCTTAGAGTTCGAGGATAAATGGAAATAAATAAATTAATAATGAAACTCATCTTAGAGTTCAACTTTTTGCTAGCACTCCAACAGCCCTACTGAAAAATGATTCGATAAAGGTGGCTAATACCAACAACAGAAGCTTCAATAATCACCCTGAAATAAATATATACAAACTTAGTAAGAGAATGCCACAACTCTGTTAATACGAATATATGTAATAACTACTTACAGTTAAATAATGAAGGGAATCAGATATGTAGGGATGCTTGGGGGAATAAATCCTAGGTACAGATGCAACAAAATGTCCAACAACAATGCTGAAATCAAATTTAGCTAATTCCAATATCCAATGGGCTTGATCAGGAGCACCGACTAACAAAGTTGCCATGAATCCAACAAGTTGAGCAGCAAAATCGGATTTTGAAGGGTGTCAAAAGGATTACCTCATCTGCATCACCTGCTATGTCAGTGCTCGGTGATAAATTGCATCACCTTTGCAATAGAGGACCCTGCCCCACAATGGAACTGCACTAGCAACCTATCTCCTAAATGACTCCCTTAAAAGAAGAAAAAGCTTCCAACAGTAGTGATTCCCTATAATACAATAAATTGGATGGTGATCACAAATTAGGAAAATTGATAACTATCAACTAGATTCAAGTATGAAGCCAAAACAAGAATTCAATTTTGTTATTTTTCCTACTTGTAACGTTCATCAAGTTTTAACTAGTTATCATTTTTTTTTCAAATACTAATAATCATCATCTAATTCTGGGGTCAAACTTACCCTACAAAATGGAAGAAATAATTAATAAAAGAAAACCTTGATGAATAGTTAAATCACTTGCATATTCCTCTAGAGTTGGCATCTTGTTTCCAGAGCTCCTACCCACAACTTCTGCACTCTCCCCAATCATTCTAATCACCTGCTCAACAAGTATAAACATTGCACATAAGAAAAGGGTATTTTTGGCAAATGAAAAATAAAGCTAACCATACTTGCCTGTGTGCAAATGTTATTTGGGTCAACCATATCACTAAATTAAAATTGTCATAAATGCAACAACTTAACAATAAAAAATAATCCATATAATTTAGATACTCAAAACTACATTTAAAAAACTTGGTACAAACTTTTGGAATCATTCATTCTTGTATAGGAAAGGATCTGCAGGCTTGACATAAGTAAATCCCTTAAACGGGTTTTCCTTACATTTGGGACTCGCAGCAGGGGAATCCAGAAGCAGGGGCAAATTTGTCCAACACTCTTCAAATTCACAGTACATTGCTTCCCAGCTACTTGTGGAACAAAACTTGGCTTTATTTCTCTACCCTCCAGTTTCCTCTAATTAATCAATTTAAACCAACCATGTTTTTTTATTTCATCACCTCCACCTGCTCCACTCCCAAGTCGCCTGCTTGAATCCTTCTGTAACAACTATTTTTAGAAAAAAAAACACACCATTATTAAGCAAAAACTATAACACAAGTATATAATATTACAAATTACGACATTACCCCTTTCAAAAGAGAATGTGCTTCACTTGACAAGAATCCCAGAAGCTTTATCTTGTCCTTGACTGTTTTCTCCTAGATTTTCTGTCTGATTCCACCTCTAAACGGAGGCTGCACAGACACAATGTCCAAACAAAATTACATTATTACCCTCACACTAAAAGTAAGGGGAATATAATAGTAATTTATTAAAAGTAATTAAGGGTGAGACACTGGCACCAACCTTTCTGGTAAGCATTTCATAGATTAAAATTCCAACACTCCACCAATCAGCAGTCTTATCATGGCCCCTCCCTTGTACAATTTCAGGTGACATAAATTCTAATGTAGCACACATGGAATTTTGTCTATCATGTGAAGCCCATCTTTGTTTTCCAAATCTTCATATACTCTAAATAAATCGATCAACTTTTAGAAAAATATTTGGTGCTCACATTAAAGATTCATAAAAACAATGTGAGTTTATCTATAAAGATTTTAAAAACTTACAAAAAAACAAATTTAGAATTAGTAAAATAACATACATCATGTAGTATGAGCTCTGTTACACACAACTGAACTGTAACACTACCATCAACCACAACCTGCAAGAAAAAATACATTCAACACATAAAATTTAACACAATGAAACTAATGAATGTGTTCAAAATAATGCTTATGTTGAACAAGTAACCTCTACAGGTGATCTGTGTACCTAAAACATATATACAACCATTTATATCAGAAAAAAAGATTATCATATTCTAGTTCTACACGCCAAAAATAGTCCAAAGTAAGAAGAAAATACCGGCACAAAACTCCTATTGGGGAATTTTATCAAACAGTTGGTGCTATGTCACTCATTTTAGCAACAAGATAGTCATAAAGCTTCTTTCTGTATTCAGCAAGGTCCATCACACGTTGTGCAAATATCTACACATTAATCAAGTCAATTGGTGACAAATCTTGACCTGAAAAAGAAAATAGAATAAGATACTCTTTTTATTATTATTGGAATCTGTATTGTTATGTCAATAAATAAATTATTAAAAAAAACTTGAAGAAACCATAAAATCTCAAAGACAAGAAACGTAGATTCAAAGAAGCATACCTCAAACAAAGTTCATTCAAAAACATCAAAGAAGATAGTATTTTTCAAAATCAGAAACGGTTTCTGATTCTTCTCTTTAAACCGGATAGACTGCCTTTCGAATTTGTATTTGACTCTTCAGAATTAATGAATCGATTTGACGATTTGGATTTTAGGAGAACTGGAGATCTAAAGTGTGGAGATGTCAAGAACGATGAGAAGAGAAGAAGAAGTATAATCAGTGACGATTAATAACGAAGCAACTCCTCAATTTAGGCGTGTGATTTTCCCTAGAAATCTGTTCGATTACTTCGATTTAGGTGTGAGATGCTGTAATTTCCCCCGTGTTCGTGTTCAGCTCCACTGCCCTGGGCTAAAAAAATTAATATACGATTAATTTTGGTCCAATTAAACTATACATACCATAAAAGCTCTGAAAACTAAGAACCGAAACCCTGGTTCCAGTAATAGTCGAACCCCTTTTTGGGGATACAACAGATAAACTACTCATTTTGAAACAAAAATCCTTAGAGCAATAGTAAGGGGTGTACTTCGAGGAGTGGAAGAGACGGAAGAGGAAGGCGAAGACGGATATTGGGACGACAGGAGAATGCTCTCGGCATCACCGCAAATCTGATTCACATACCTGTTGAAGAAGTAGAGAACGTTGGACCACCGTTCGCCTTAAGTGAAAGGGTAGAACGGCGATGAAAGCACCTGCTATTGATGATGACAGATTGAGAAAACTCAATCAATCATGAGATGAAGGCATCAAGATTGTCGATGATCGTAACCTTGGATCTTTGATTGAGAAGTTGCACAACAGTGTGAGGAGAATGAAAGATGCGTCAAAATGCTTAGGGCAAAGAGGGTAGCGGGCTTTTCTAATTTTTTTGCTTTTCTTTTCCCGCTTGTAACTAACGAATGCGCGTTCATTAAAATTATAAAGCGACACTTATAAGGACGCTCATTTAAGATACAGCGCCCTCCGTGTTTTTAATTTTTTTTTCTTATGAGACTAATTTAAGGGCACACAATAATGCGTGACCTAAATCCTTAAATTTTCTGAAGAGATGACATTTTTTTAATGTTATTCTCGTTTGCGTAACATAAATCAACGAGTGTCGTGGTTTGCACGTCGTAAAAGGCTGTTTTTCTAGTAGTGTTTGTTAAAAATTTCGTAGTTAAATAATACATCCTCATTATCATGAATTGTCATTTTCTGTAATGACTTAATGAAACAATAACATTCACTAGATACAACTTCAATGAATGGGTTCATGTCTTAAGAGACAATCTCATAAGAGATATGAAATTGTATACACTTAAAGGTCCTAGTCCTAAACGAGTTGTTGTCACACCCCCGAACCAGGACGGTGGAAACGTCCGGGGGAGAATGACATCATTGTATAGTATCAGAACAGTTGAATATAAATGAAACATAGCAACCCAAGCAACATACATTGAGAATACAAACTTACATTGTTTACAAACTGTATTTGTTCATAAGTTACACAAAAGTGACAGAAAAGTACAAATTCCAAAATGTAGCAATCCAGTTCTCAAAGACTTAGGTACCTGCTTACTGGTTCCCTGAGAGTACAAGTGATTTTGAAAAACTTCAACATTGAATATTGGTGAGTTCATAAGCATATTTGTATGAAAAGATTTGTAACTGCTTTGTTTAAAAATGGTTTGTATATCTCCAGAAAATCCGATATTTTCTATAAAAAAAAATGTGTTGTAAGTCTTATACCAAAGACTAAAATGTATGTATGCATTACCTTTGTTTCTTTTTTTCTTGAAGTTATAAGATGTATGTTCCCAGAAAATCCTATATTTTCTGAAGTAGGAGAAATGCAGTGTTAAACCATAAGACTGGAAAGGCAACAATAATGTTCTGAAAAGTAGTATGCAGGTTTATATTTTAAATAAAACTGATGAAGTTTAAGCTTCCCGTAAACCAAGATAGTATTTTTAATCCATATGTGAGTTATCATAACCATGCTAAATGTGACTGTTATGCATGTACGACGTTCTTCAGGCATCAGAAATCGGTAAGATATTTGGCACCCTAGACTGGCCCGTCTAGCTGTAGCGATCAGCTCAGGTGTGGGGTTGTCAATCCCCGTATAGATCTATACACAACTATCTCGCTCTCCCTCCAGGAGACTCTGGTTATAATGCAGGACTTAAAGTGTACGCTAGGTAGGTACGGTGAAGTGAATATGTCTCACTAGAGCATTAACGGATTTACGTGAACTTCGACTCCCTTTTTCTTGTATAATAAAATAATTATACTATTGGAAAATTTATGACATGAATTTTATGACACGCAAATTATACCATTACTAATTTGCCTTGTATGTTTTTGTGTAAACTATTTATATAAATTTTATATAAATATCTATTTGTAAGGTTGTTAAAACATAATATTCTTGAGTTTTTAAATCATCAAAAACAGTGACGACTAAAATACAACCTTTTTTACTATAAAGGTTATTTTTAGTAAAAATCTCCAAGAATTTGTAGTGTTGTACATCTCATATTTTTCCGGTGAAATTTCGTAACACAAAATAGTTTAATTTTTGTCATCTTTACCATATAGCTCACGATTTTTATAAAAACAAACCATATGGTGACTTCAACATTTTTATACTTTTACAAATTTTACTTTGTAAAAGTAATACATGTAAATATCCACAGATCAAACATATTTGGACTTATATAAACATATGTTTTTGTTATACTTGTATATATCAACCCATAAACACGATTTTTATGTAATAAAAATGATGATTTTCACATATTCACGATTTTTGTGTTGTGAGCAAGTAATATTTACCTTTATATACAAGATCTTGTTCCATATTCAAACAATACTCCTAGTGCATGCAAATGTCCAATGGACAAACACACTTAGACATATATAGCCATGTAAATCACGATTTTTATGAACATAGGTATGATACTCTTTAACATTCCATGCACATTTTATATCACAAACAAGTTGGTGCATGCAATTAACCAAGGTGTAAATGTATTTTGACTTGTATTCCCCCCCCCCCCCTAAAAGCATGTAAAACACGAAAAATTGGGGGTATGAAGCTCACCTTGTTGATTTTCGTGGGTTGTAGGAAGGAAAATGAAGAAGATGTCGAGCCTAGGATGAGGTGGATGAACTTTGAAGAGCTTCTTGAAAAGTTTGGTGTTCTAGGGATTAATCACACGAAAATGTGTGTACGCATGAAGAGCTTGACAACAAAATGTATGAAAAACACTTAGGGTTCATGAAGGAACTTACCAAAACTACTAGAGCTGACCTTAAGGTGGTGATGCTCGAAAAGATGACTTTGTCTTGGGAAAGAAGAGAAGTGAGTGAGCAAAATAAATCAAGTGGCAAGAGTGGGATACCCACTCTCGGCCTAAGCCTTTAAATAGAGAGAGGAAAATTGCTTAGTTAATACTTGATGGATTATTAGGTGCCATGCATGGATGCGTGATGTATAAAAGCTTGCATGGTGTGGAAGTTTGGAGGATAATGAGGGGTAAAGCAATGAGGTGTCAAGGTGTGATCACTCCTTTTCTTTTTCTTTTTATTTTTGTTTATCTTACACCCAAGCCGAAAATTCAATGCTAGCAGAAAGGGTTTTCGGCCTTGTGGTTGTTCATGGGGGTTTTCGGTTTTTGTTGGGCTAAATCAATGGGTTTTCGGTTTCAATATCGCCCAAAGAATAGGGTTTTTGGTTTTGAGGTTATTTGGGCCAAGAACTCTTAAGCTCAAGCCCAAAATTTGTTTTTGTTTAACTATTAGATTAAACTTGGGCTTATAAGAGGCTATTACAACTTGATTCTTACTGTATGCATATATTGTCACACCCCCAAACCAGAACGGCGGAAAAGTCTGGAGGCGGATAAATTGACTTCATGTACAGTATTATAACAATTGAATAATAATGAAACATAGCAACACAACCATTCATACATTGACAACATAAGTTTACATTGTTTACAACACTTTGTTTATTCAAAAGTTAAATATAAATAATTGAAAAGTAGAAAGACATGAGACGACGACGCCGGCCCTTAAGGAGAGTTGAGTACCTGTCTACAGGTTTCCTGAGAACACAAGTGATTTTAAAAGTGTCAACAATTAAGTTGGTGAGTTCATAAGCGTTTTTGCATAAAAGGATTTATAACTATTTTTGCAAAAAGACAATTTCGTATATTTCCAAAAGAAAAATTCGACATTTTCTTTAGTATAAACTGAAATTGTAAGTAATTCCTTTGTATCTTTTCCTTGTAATGTAATAATGTATATTTCCAGAAAATCCAGTATTTTCTTAAAGGTGAACTGTTGTCTTAAGCCCTAAGACCAAGATGGAAGTGAATGTTGTACAGAAAATAGTATATAGTTTCATTTCTTTTAATAACACTAATGAAGTATAAGCTTCCCGTCA